TTTGAGACAGGGTCTCCTTGATCTCAAAGAGATCCACCTATCTCTGCCTCCTGAGTGCTGGGATTAAAGGCATGTATCAACATGCCTGGCTTCATTTCTTTTTAAAAATAATTTTATTTATTTTTATTTTATGTATATGAGTGCTTTGCCTACATGTATGTGAGTGCACCAATGTCTACAATGCCCACAGAGTCTGGGAGAAGGCATAAGATCTGGAACTGGAGTTAAGGATAATTGTTAGTAGTCATATGGGAGCTGAGAACTGAATCCGAGTCCTCTGCAAGAACAGCCAGTGCTCTTAAGTACTGAGCCATCTTTCCAGCCCTATTATTATCATTTCTTTTTAAAAAACATTTTATTTATTTATTTTTTATGGTATGAGTGCTTTGCCTGCACATATGTAAATGCACCTGCTCCAGCCAATGCCCATGGAGGTCAGAAGAGGGTGTCAGATTACTCTGGAACTGCAGTTATGGATGGTTGTTAGCCATCATGTGGATGCTGTGAATTGAACATGGGTTCTCAGCAGAATCAACTGGTGCTCTTAATCACTGATCCATCTCTCTATTCCCTATCATCATTTCTTAGTCAACTTTTTCATTTTGGGTATTTTCCAAAGAAATATTCTGAGGAAGTTCCATTATCTCCTCAGGCATTCACCATCATTCATTCCAGTTTATCCAACACAGTGTCTAAGTTTATGTATGTTATTTTATAAAACAAATCAAAGCAACATTATAGAAGCTGAAGTTCATAATAGAATATGGGCAGGTAAAACCAGGACAAAGGTCAACTGGGACACTATTGCTCTCACACGCCCTTCTCCGTTCTTGCAGTAGCAGCATCTCCTAGTAACTGTCAGAAGTGCAGATTCTCAGACTCGGTACCAGAATTACAGAACCACAAAATCTACAACTCTAGGGAAGGGACCTGCAATTTGTTAGGACCACCTGTGGCCTGAAGTGTGAAAACGGATGTCCTACTAACTGCTGTGATTGTACAGTTGCTTATGAAGCGAAAGCAGACTTTCTTAATAACAACATAGGAACGTTCCTTGATTTGGGATCCAGCCAGAATGAATTACAATGAGTGACAAATCTACAGGTGCATCCCTCCCCTTTTCTGCCCTCCCTTTTCCTCTCTTCCTTCCTTTGATGCCCTACTTCTCCACTCCTTGCATTTCTCTCTTTATAAGCACACCAGAGTCACAGAAATATGGTACTTTAAATTGAGACTATCATATACTTTTCAGTAATATTTCTTCTAGGAATTTAAATAATAGTCTCTTAGTTAAGGAAGCTGGGTAGAATATGGCAATTTTCTCCTTAAAAGTATTTCTAGGTTTTAAATAGAATTACTTAATTCGTTTTTCTAAGAATTACAACTTTATTATGGAAAGTGCTGTGGTAGGTGTGATATATGTCCAAACAAGATGAAGTCTGATGACATGTGGTTCCTTAAAACTGGAACATCCATTAGAGGTAGCACAAGCTGAATTTAATTTGTGATTTTTAAAGTGCTTAATTTATCTCAAACTACAGCATCTAACTCTATTCCAAGACAGAAAAGCGGCTTCTACCTCTGCAAAACATGACAAATCCCATTATATGCAGTACCATTTTACAGGATGGAAATTCAAAAATGTAAATGAGGCAATGTAACCTGGAGTCCATGGCTTGAATTACAATATATTATTGCATAAATATTTTATCTTGTGCTAAAATGTTACATCATCATAAATAGATGCATTTTTATTATGTTAATTTTTGCAGATGAATGCAAGAATAATGTAGAATATCTGTCTATCATCTAGCATCATCTATCTAATCTATCTCAAACATTAGTTAAAATCCAGTCTCTTGCTGAAGTTACTTAAATAATGATTAATACAATCTTTTATGTTTATGCTTATGCTAGGAATGAAATGCAGGACCTAATGCATGTAAGACAAGCACCCCACCAAATAAGCTATGTGCCCAGCTCAGACTACTAAAGTCTTTTACTTATGTCACAGTAGCAAAATATAACAAAGAAGATTGGTACTAAGAGTCAGAGTTGTTTCCCTGACTTCACCTAACCATGGCACTCAGAATCTTTGGAACTGGTTTGTAAGAGGGTTTTAAAAAAGCTTAGAATATTGTAAATTGAGATTAGTGGTGGGTGATTCTGGTATGAACTCAGAAGTTCCGAATGCTGAGAGAAATGTGGGTCTCATGACATTTCAGATGGGAGTGAGGAGTCATTATTGGGAACTGGACTAGCGGCCATGCATGTGATTTGTCTATGCTCTTAAGAGACTTTGTTTGAGGATGAATGCAAGAAAGGGTCAGTTAATCTGATGAAGGAAAATTCCAGGCAGCCTAGCATTCAGGCTGTTGTATGGAAACGGCCAGCTGCTTTTAGTGAGGTTTACAGTAAGTATTTGAGCAAAAACAGAGCGGAAGCATTTGAAAAACATTTTTCCAGAAAAGCCCAAATAAAGATGGTTTGAAGAAAGGTCTGGTTTGTGAAGCTATTAGCAGTATTTAAAGGAGGCCAAAACTTTGTATTAGAACATTCAGAAAGATGCCTTGAGGATATGTGTGGAATCAGTGGAACTCTACCCATCAGAGGTTCGAAGGCATAACAATAGGAACTTATTTTAAGGGAAAACAGCCACTGGGCTACCCTGTTCACACAGGGCCAATAAACAAAGTGTCTCACTAGCTTCAATTAACTAGACACTCAAAGGCTACCATATAGCCATGGTTCAGTGTGGCCCAGCAGTGCTCAAGACGGCAGGAAACCTTTTTGTCCAAATCATTTTATTTTTGCAAGCATGCAGAACTAAAGTGTTTCATGGCTATGAGGCCTTCCACTAGATTTCAAAGGAGAATCTGTGAGGCCAGGCCTTGTGTAACATGGTCAGATTCCAGGCAAGCAACCAGCAAGAAGGTGATGGGTGAAGCTGTGAAGGTGGGACTAAAGATGTGGAGGAGACTGCAGAAAGTTGGGGGTGCCAGAGATGTGATGGCTGCTGTGGAAAACTGGGGGCTACAAGCAGATTCAGCCCCAAAGACAAGTCATGAGGACTGCAGTTGGTGAGGCTAGAGGAGTGAGATAGCCTAGGCCCCTTGGAGCTTGCCTTTCTACCACCATGTGCCTTGGGTGTGGACATGGAGCTATAGGATTTAATGTCCTCAACAATAGGTTTCTTTGCTGTTTTCGTCCCTTTCCTCCTTCCCGTGACTCCATTCCTCTATTCTGGAATGGACATACTTGCTCTGAGCCATTAAATCTTGGCAATATGTCACTTTCTTTTTGATTTTCCAGGGGTTCCCAATTAGGAGTTTGTCTTAAGTTTCAGAGGAATCTACAAATGACCATCTGTATACATTGGGAAAAATATTGTAGTTTGGTGCTGTATTCTGGATACAATGTTTAAGGTAGAATTATGTCATGGATGCTGTCATTTGAAGAAATAGTTAAGTGTCAAATTGAAAAGGGATTGATTTGTGATGGTTAGTCTTGATTAGATTGATACACTGAAGCCAGGAGGATTGAAAATTACTAATGAGTTCTAGCTAGTCTGCACTGCATAATATGGAAAGGGGGAGGGAGAGGAGGAAAGAGAGGGAGAATAAGAGAAGCTTAGCACTACTTGTGAGACTGTTTCCAGAAACCAGCAGATTATGAGTCCTCTGACCTAATGTATGGTTTCAAAACCTGAATAGATTGTCAGAAGATGGCAGGTCT